ATAACTTCGTACATCTCTGAGTAGAGGTTTCATTACGGATGGCCACTTCGACTTGGTATCCTTCCCTTGTTAGGAGTACGGCTAAATGGCTACCAATAGCCTATTTGACTGAATACCTGAAGAACGCAAAACAGGAGTTACGATAAGGGACCGATCCTACGACGTTTTGACTGTGAGTCCCGACCACTACCGTTGCGCTGTTTTGCTTCATAACTCCGTTCAGAGAATCGTTTAGCAGATTTGGAAGGTAGATTTGAGATCAGCGTTCGAAGGCACATCTAGTGGTATACATCTCTTCTTGAATGGCCATGGCGACCTGAGAGCCTTTCCTCGCAAGCTCGCTTTGCGTGCTACTGATCAAAGCTCTTTTAGTTTCGTAGTTAGCGACAGCGATGCCTCTAGCCCAACGAACTCGGGACGTGAATCGAGTGATGACTCTTGGACTCCAAGTGATAGCGACGACATATTCGACAGAACCCAAAGCAAGTTTTATTTCTACTGCTGTTATGTTACGATTTTTGCTGTTCTTTATTTCTGCTGCTTTTCAATCTTCGTTCAGAGCAGAAGCTGCTTAATTCGATTAAGGACTCATTCAGCAGCCCATCCGTGCTGTCAAAACCGAGAAAGCATGTTGGTATTTTAACAATGATTTATGTGGAGTTTTCCTAGTATTTTTTATGAGAAGCATAACGTAGTCAGACTTCTAATGTCCTTGTAACAGGAATCAGATCCTGACGAACATTTCCTCATGTCGCTGTCGGCTGATTATCCTGGGAAACGGCACCCAGAAGCAGAAATATATGTGAAGAGAGGCATCAAAAACGAAAAACTCCGGATGGATCTCACGTCCCGCCTGTTTGATATATTTCGTAGGCAGTGCTTTAAGGATGAAGTAAGTGCAGTGTCTTGACATGCTTCCTTTTATTTGGATGGTTCTTCGTCTGCTTTGCAAGAATGATTCATTTGTGATTCAGTTACCCGAGTTTCTACCCGTGAAGTGGAACAACCGCTTATGCAAAACTGCAGGGATGTGCCGCAATATGTCAGATCGCACTAGCTGGATCGAGCTCTCACCAAAAGTATGCAGCACTCCTGGTAAGGTGGTGGAATATTTCGAATTTCTTATAGTTCCAGACCCTCGGGCGGCCAATGACTCGAGATTTTATTGAAGTTTATAATGGGTTCAGATCGTGTCCGTGACACAATTATTCATGAATTATGTCACGCAGCTGTGTGGGTAGTGGATGGTCGACGGAAAGAAGGACATGGTCCACTATGGAAGAAATGGTAGGCCCTGTGTTTTCTATGAGATTGAAATGTGCATTCTAAACCTTGTAGCAGATAAATCCTGGACTCAGTTTTAGTTATTTGTTAAATTCATTGAGTGAGCTAATATTTATGAAGTTTGTGAGAGGTGCAATATCGCTTTCACGTCGTTTTACCTTGGTCACCTAAGAGTGTCATTGATTGTCACCTGCCTTTCGTCGTTGATTTTGCACTTCTCACCAAGCATCTAATCACTTTACAGGGCTTCTCAATGTATGCAACGGTTCCCTTCACTACCCGTAATTGGACGATGCCACGATTACGAAATCGATGCCAAATTTATCTACGAGTGTGGTGGCTGCGGACAAAAGTGAGTACTAAGAGATGAAGCGACACAGTTTTTAGTGACATTAAGCGTCAGCATTATAAAACTACTTAATGGGTATTGGTCGCTAGACATCAGAGAGTGCGACTTTCTCGCTTTTCGCACTGCGAAGCTTTGTCAGCAATCCCCAGGTCCACAGTGAGCATCAATGGACCTAGGGTTCCCGCAGCGAAAAAAGCTTAGTATTGCGAAAAAGTCGCGCTCTGTACTAGGGATCCACACTCTTACTTCATGAGAAGTTACCATGTTAATCGAATATTACCGATTATACAGTGCGTACCAAAAGTATGTGGACACCCTAGAATCGATTCTCAGGAGTCAGCTAAAGGCTTTTATGTCATGAAACCTTCACCATTCAACTCCTAGTGGTCGATAACCTACAATGACATTTTCGGCAAAAGATTTCGTTCTAACTTAGCGAACTATTTTTCATGGAAAGTTTTTTCTTTGTATCAAAATTATGTGGACACCCTGAGGCAGATGAAGTTTTTGCATCGATTTCCTAACCTATTTTTACTTCTCCTTTCGTTACTTATTCTGGCATCATTCCTCTTCACGGCAAGCGTTTTCTGCTAACTTCGTCGTCTTCTTCAGAACGGGAATTCTTTGGTTTTTCTGAAGAAGACCGAGCACAGAAATGGGATCCCCATGCTTCTGAACCTTCCTATTGCGAAATAGCACGTCAACCAGTCATGCGTCCTCGTAGGTTTGGAGAGAAATCCGAAATCCTGATGCTAAGCTCTCGACCTTGACTGAGGGTTGTTCTCAATCGCTACTTGTTCAAAACAGGAGAAGAATAGCCTTTAATTTTCTCAAATTATTCTTTTCGTACTACTCAACTTAGGACATATTGATCGTGTCGCGCGTGCGCTTAAAAAAAGACCAATCGGTGTCTCATTCAATCAATTGAGCACACGACACGAAAGAAGATGAAGAAGGCTTTGTATATGAATGCGGGTTCAGGTTGGCAAGGTTGGAATTCCCACTCAAAAAAGGATCACAACATGATACTTTGAACCCACACAGACAGTGCTTTCGTGGAAATGGTAAAATTAGTATAAAAGACTTTCTGTGGAAATTTCTCTCATAGACCAACTCGACTGGCAGAAAGAAGCTTATTCCTCACTATTCGGGTGGGTCTTGAGGTTTTTGGAGAGACTTTGGTCGGACCCGCAGATGTGTCGAAGAGAGACAATTCGGAGATGTTCATCAAAGGTCTGGGGTGGTTCCAAAAGGAGGGGGACATTGAAGTTTGGCTTGCCAACATGTCAGGTAGACGACTAGGATTATAATGAGGTGCTTGAGTCCCGGCTACAACCTTTTTCGAAAAGTCATGGTCGCAAATCACTTGTTTTGCAGGGGAGGTCCCTGACACCATTCCATTTGGAAAAATGCTAAACGCAACGGCTTTGATTGGCAAGTCGGCTAGCGTATTCCTCAGACTTCATCCTTATTGAAAACGTAGAGGTATCGTGGTTCGCGGTCTCTACGTCATTGAACAAAAGAGTAATATCACAAGTGACCTAACACGTCGGTGAAATTTGCTTAGTTGGGATTCTAGCTTGGGAACAGATCTGCAAGACATGTATCCAGACCCCATTCATAGCATGCCAAACAGAATGGCTCAACTTACTAGAAACTTTGGTAGGCCTACCGATTTCAGATTCTGAAGATATTGCCGTTTTTCAAAAAGTGTCCACATAATTTTGATACAAAGAAAAAACTTTCCATGAAAAATAGTTCGCTAAGTTAGAACGAAATCTTTTGCCGAAAATATCATTGTAGGTTATCGACCACTAGGAGTTGAATGGTGGAGGTTTCATGACATAAAAGCCTTTAGCTGACCCCTGAGAATCGATTCCAGGGTGTCCACATACTTTTGGTACGCACTGTAATACCACTAAAAAAAACTGAATAGGCTAGAAATAAAGGTTGTGGCGCATGCGCTTAATACTCTAAAGCTGCCTTTATGTGAACTCAGTAGGGGAGGGGTCGAAGTTCTGCGCCACCACTGAGGAAAACTGCCCTTGAATACCAAATTCTATCCCATTGTCTGGTACGGCACTGCCCGCTGAATTGTGATCACCTATCACAAAAGCCTCTCCAATCCTGACAGGGTTATCCAAGCTCGTACGCATCGTTTCTAGCAGCGGCAGTTTCCTAACTTGGATGGGTATTAGTAACGAGTTGGAATAGCAGGTAGAAGACAACCAACGCAACGAAGGGAGCATTGGTAATATTAAGAATACGATAAATACATCATAAACCATTGACCTTAGTCGGAATAACAGCCACCTTTGAATCTGTCCAGAGTGAGACGCCACACTAAATCGCTGGACATTGATCGGAAGATATGTGGAATCTGCAAGTGTCGGTTCACACTTCAAGTGCGTACACGTACAAAGAAGGCAACGGGTGCAGGTGATGCGTCAGAACT